CACGCTGTACCCCATAAATATGTACAATGACTTATCAGTTTTAAAAAGGAAGGAAACTGTCTCACTAGACCATATAAAAAGCTCCTTTATATGTGTAAGAAAAGCATCAGCAACGCATTCATCTATTTCACAACCTTGTTCCCTGCTCAGATAGCCCTGCTTATCAGTGAATTTCCTAAGACCCGAAATTTCACCTCGATCTTTGATCCCAAATGGCTCGCACACTTCCCAGCACACATGAGCTTTATCCATGAGGAAAAGGAAAGCAGAACATGAACTTAGTAAATTAGAGTACCTCAGTCAGAAGAGATAGTACACAGCTACTATAAATCACAATGACAGAGGCTACGCAGACCTGCGTAGAGACACGGGAATGACGCTCATAAAACACAGCAGTCGCAGCAGCACGTCACTGTAACTGCAGCTGGGCGGAACCCTGTCTGTAAAAGGTATAACATGGAAAATGTTAGGGGGTAGTATTATGAGTGATACAAAAATAAACATTAATTAATGTTGCAATTTTTTTTAAATGTTTTATTTAGTAGGGCTGAATCCCCCTGTCGTTTTGAACCTGGTTTGAAGACCCCTTATAAAGTGTGAGCAGTTTTTATGAGCAGTCTTTTCCTAATTTGAAGTTGGAGACTTCTCAGATATTTTAAGTATTATTTTTCTAATTATTAAAGTATATATTCTCAATGGTAAAAAAAAAAATAGGGAGGGCATATAGAAACAAATCAAACCAAAAAATGCCACTGTTTCCTCGCAGGTCCCAGTCCCCCGGACCATAACCCCCACCTGTGGTGCTCACAGCGGGCCCAGCGTGTGCCCTCGCCAAATGGTCACAGCTGCTCTGTGGACATGGCACACGTGGGGAAGCCGAGGGTCCCAGAGTGCCAGGGAACTTGCAGGAGAGAAGTGAAGCAGGGCTGAGAGCTCCGTGGGGGCGGGAATTTTCTCACAATTGGTGCCCAGTGTTCCCACCCAACCCGTGCCTGGGACAGTGCCTGCCTGGCATCTGCCAGTGTCAGGGGAGTCGGTCTTCCTCCTCCTGTGGTCTCTAACCATGTAGTAGCTGCGACTCGAGATTGCACATTTTGTTCTAGGGAACTTACATCAGCCTTCACCTGCGAGCCTCGGACACCCCGGACTCCAGAGATCCTGGACCGGAACCCCCCCAAGGCAAAGGTGTCAGCTCTGGCTCCTCAATTCTCCTCCTGTGGCCCCCAGCAGGCCAGCCGCCCCAGCTCCATGGCGTCCTCCACGAGGGGCCTGCACAGTAAGTCAGCCTGGGTCCTGGCTGGAGCAGGAGCCAGGCCACCGGCCAACCTGGAGGGAAGGGCATTTTGTTGCCACATTTGGGCCCGGGCCCCTCCTGTGTGTGCCCAGTGGCAGATGGGAAGGCCTGCTTCCCTTCTCCACGGGACCAGGCCCCAGCCGGTGGCTTCCTTTGCCCTAGGGACCGGTTCATTAATCTTCCCCTTATTAAATTGCCAGCGGCCCCAGCGGTCCATACACCAGCTGGGGAGTGAGACCTCCAGGCAGCATCACCGCGAGATCAGTCCCCCCTCTGTGGGGTGTGCAAAGTCAGCCCTGACCTGTCCCTACTGCACCAGGGTGGGCCCTGCAACTCCGACCTCCGCTCTGGTGGGAGGCAGTGCCCGGCCCCTGCCCACCAGCTGTGTCCCTGCCGGGCCCAGCCGCTGGCCAGGTGTCCTCTGAGTCAAACAGAAGCAAGAGGCTGCTCGCCGGCTAGATGAGAGGCCAACAGAAGGGCCTGAGTGTGGGAAGGGCCCAAGGGTCCCTACTCTGCCCCTGGGGCCTCCCTCTCACCTTTTTGCGCACTGTAAGGACCACTTCTCTGTCTCTCTCTCTGCCCTTCCAGCCTCACCAGTTGACACCCCTCCCTGCCTCGCATCGGGCTGGGCTGGACCTTTCTAAAGGGCTTTACTGAAAATGAGGGAAAACAAAAAGGACAGAACAAAAGAACGTCAGGCAGTGCAAAATCAGTCACCCTCAGGATATGCGCAGTTCTGTGACTGCCCCTCCACCTTCCTGACCCTGGCGCTCTGGTCAGCTGGGGCCCCGCTGGGCTAGAAGTATGGGCGCCGGCCCCCCTCCTCCTGCTGGGAAACACACGGGCCGCAGCCAGAGGAAGTGCGGCGAGTACAGGGAAGGCCAGAGAGAGGTGGCCAGGCCTCCCGACCCTGCTGGCTCCCGGGTGGCACCAGGCCAGGGGAGCCCCACAGCCAACAGCATGACATGACCTGAGCCGGTGTAGGAGGCTCGGCAAGGGGTGGATGTCATGTGTCCTGTGTCACTGAGCAACCCACACCGAGCAGCCTGCTTCCTGTGAGGAAAGACTGTGGCCAAACAAGTTTTGTCCCAGCCACACAGCAGGTGACCTGTGGGAGGGAGCATTCTCTTTACTCCGTTGTACATGAGCCGGTGAAAGAAGGGTTCTGTGGGACGGGACAGAGGGGCTCTGTGCAGGGCCTCTCGGCGCTGGCATCTCGCTCTGGCTTTTCTCTCTAGGCAGCCAGTCTTACAGGAAGTGAGGATGGCGCCTTTCCCCGGGTGTCACCGTCGTCGTTGCCTGAGGACCAGCCAGCTTCCCATTCTGAGCAGGGTGGCAGCTGCAGGTGACGGATGTGAAGGGACTGTTGTCTACGAGCCACTGGGCAGCAGAGGAGGTGAGGACAGGCCATCGCAGCCCCACCGTCCGGATCACTCCTTCCGCAGGGCAGAGCCTCACCAGGAGGGCTGGGAAGAGCCTGCCCTCCTAGAGGGGAGTTTCCTGGTCACCCTTCACTCCCAGAGGAGGGGAGGGATGACCTTTGCCCTCGGGAGACCTGGCCCCAGGAACAGTAGGCTGTGGATTCAGCAGCCCCGGCTGGGCAGACAAGGTGGAAGGCCGGACCAGCAGCCAGGCCAGCGGGCCGGTTCCATCTCGCAGGCTGGTGAGGAGGAACCGGGTCCGTGAGAGCTCGGCCCCACAGCGGAGCCTTTTCCGAGACTGCGGACCGGGGTGGCCTTGGCAGACGCCAGCTCTCCTCACTCAGACCAAATGCTTGGAAACAGAAGAGATTAAGAGTAAAGGAAGCTCATTCTCAAGCCATGTGCCTCAGCAACAGATTTTGTATTTTCTTCCTCTTTTAAAATGTGATAAAGAATATGGTGTGTTCTGGTTTCTTCAAAGCAGCCCTGCACTTCTGCACATGTGTTTTAGACAGTCGACCGGTTTGACCAGGGAATGCCCTCTGCTTCCCTCCCTCCGTTGGGACCATAAGCGCAAACAGCCCCCCTGGCAAAAACGACGGCACTGCCGGGGAGGCTGCAGGTGTCATCAGGGCCTCGTCTCAGGACAGGGGAAGGATGTCTGCCTTCAGGGCCAGCACGGCACAGGTGTCCTGAATGCTACCCAAGCCATAAAATCAAATAAAATTAATCCGCATTTGGATGGTCCTCTGTGTATTCACGAAGGGAAATGAAAACAAATTAAAGTTGCATGCTTTCCCCCAGGCACTTGATCTGCGCTGGCCAGGCCCTTCGATAGGGACATCTCTGTGGTCCTGCTGGTCGTACATAAAAGATAAGCACTGTGTTTTTCAGCGGCCTCTGACTCCTCAGCAGAGCAGGCGGGAGGCCAGGTTACCCCTGAGATGACTGTCAAGGGCGAGGACCCCCATCACTCTCCTGTTCTTGGCAGTGGCTGCGGGCTGGGCACATTGGAACTCTGTTGTGTGACCAACCCGATAGCCACATCCCGATTCTCTGGGAACAGGTGGGGGCCCCCTTCTGTCCTGGGTGAAGAAAGCTGCCGTCTTAAACCCCCAACCTCCAGCACAGTCCGAACTCCTGACTTGACCTGCGGAGGCGTAAAGACAAAACACAAACGCTCATCACCGGTGTTGTCAGTGAGGCCAGAGAGGAAAAGTAGGTCCCTGAAATGGAATCGCTCTGTGCTGAAACTTTGAAAAGGTGTAGAGTGGTCGCAAATGAACAGCAAAGGAGCGTAATGGAAAAATTATCCCGTTCCCACCAATAAGTCCCCTCCCCTACAGATTCCTCAGACGCCGCTGGCTGGCACCGCCTTTCCCTGCCTTGGCATGGGAGCCGCAGAAATCCGGTAGGGGTGGGAGAGTCATCAGTTTCAGCCCAGCGTCTCCCTGGTATGAAGGCAACAGTGCTTTCTCCCTCAAGCCTACCAAAGAGCTGAAGTCTGATTTGTAAATGTCTGGTCATTTTGGGAGAAGAAAAGACAGTTTTTTAGAGAAGAGAGGAGTATCCAACTCGGGGTCAAAATACACTGAGATTACCAGGGGAGGGCTGGGTGGTTCTTCAAGTTTTGTAAATACCACCCAGGCCTCTGCACCACACCCCTGGGAGAGTCTACTCCCAGGCACACGCTTCCACATTCCAAGGCCAGAGGCCAGAGATATACTTTGTAAAACACCAACAACTTATTCATCAATATTCCAGCCATCGCTGGCTTCAGTGAGTTAACTGAGGTTGGATGTGAACTCAGTAGAAGGGGAAAAAAAACAAATACACAAATAAACGAAAACATTTTTAAAAGTGATCTAGAGATCTAATCAGAGAGCTCCTAAAATTTGCCCATCAGAACTATCAAGGGATGCCACAGAGAGGAGTCTTTGGAACTTGTGGAACATGGTGAGCCTTCAGGGGGACCAGGATCCTCTGGCCCTGGACGCTGGTCCCAGCTCTCCGGTCACCTCACACCCCTGATTTCTTTCGAGTGGTGCGTGAGCTCATCGGCTTCGCTCTCAGCAGGTGCAACTGCCCAGCAAGGTTAAACTGGGACTTTGGCGGGGATGTAAGACGCAGTGAGAGGTTTGCAATCCAGTCGGATATCAGGGGCCAGTCAGCAGGTTGGGAAGGATTTGACCCAAATCAAGAGCCAAATAAAAACACAAATGGACAAATAAGGTTAATGCAAAAAACAAATCCATGATTTTTTTAATCAAACTTTTTAATAAAAATAAATCTGACCCTGTACTTGGATGACTCTGCCGGGCTTGCCTAACCCTAATCCCAGCAATGATTCCAATAAAACTTGATTGCAAAAATAGGCAGCTGGCACATGGGCTATAGTTTGCCAGTTTGATTTTTTAAAATATTGCATTAAAATATTACAGTATTTATCTTGATTACTGAGTTTTAGGATACCCCCTTAAATTTTGTGTGCAAGGTGAATGCCTCACCCCCTCATCCTAATCCTGGCCCAGGATCTGGAGGGACCCTCCTGGCCCTCCCTGTGTCCCTGACCACACAGCCCTGTGGCTGGGTGGCCTGTGGGCCTAACCATTCCTCATCTCCCCAGACGCTATGTGGTCCATTGTACGGATGAGGGATTCACTTAGCTTTTGCATGTGACAGACTGCTTTTGAAACTTAGTGGCCTAAAACAGCAATTTATTTATAAGCTTTACCATGACGTGGGTCCTCAGCGGGGGCTGGGCTCGGCTCGGCTGGACTCGGTTCTGCTTCTGTGGTCGGAGAGAGGGCGCGGGCCTCCCTCGGGTCTGGCGGTGGCTGTTGGCTGAGCCCTGGTTCCTCTGCAGTGAGGCCACACATCTTCCAGCAGGCCAGCCGGGCTCGTTCACAGGTGGCCTCAGGGTGCCCAAGGCAGTGAGAGAGGTCAAGCCCGAGCGCAATTCGAGTCTCTCCTTGCATCATGTTTACTGTTCTCCTGCTGTGCAAAGCAGATCACGGGGCCAAGGCCCAAGTCTGTGTGGAGGGACATGGGCGCAGAGAAGCTGAAAGAACACGGGGCAGTACTGCAACCATCTACCACACAGAAGATGTTCAGAACTTACTTTTCAGAGCTAAACCTTTCAGGGTGGTTTTTCCACTGCGCTGTAACCTCCCCATGTAAATTCAATTAAACAGATACATCCTTTGGGGCTGCTGGATGTTGAGATGTGGAGACACGGACCCATTGGCCCTCAAGTTACCATCCGTCTTCTAGGGGAGAATTCCTGGCCTTTGCAGATGGCCAGAGCACCAGCCCCAGACTGAAGCGGTGGGCAGATTTCCTGCAGGTGGTTGCAGAATTAGGAAAAAGTCAGGCCTAGAGAGACCCGTCCAGAGTCATCTCCTTAAGGTGTCAAGTGAAGCCTGGGAGAGGAGGGATCTCAGAGGGGTGGACTAGAGAAATAAGAAACCCAGGACAGAGCCGGGGCGTGGGGAAGAAGGGAGGTTGGCACTGGTGCAGGAGAGATTTCAGGGAGAAGAGGGAGGACCAGGACACAGGCTCTGGAACCCAGGGAGGAGAGCAGCGCGTGGAGGGTAGTCACCATGGTCAGGCTGCAGAGGAGACTGAGGAGAAGACGGTGCCAGAAGCCACCTTTGAGAGCAGTTTCCACAGAGCACTGCCAGAGGTCAGCCTGCAGCAGAGCAGTAGGTGCCGGGGGCACCGAGGCCAGACCGTGTCCCAGAAAGGGAGGTGCAGGTTGATGGCAGGAATTCTGAGCGGGAGGCGGGAGCTAAGGCTGGGCAGCCGTGACCTTGAGGGTGCTGGGGAGCACGGGTCCTCCAGGCCCTCCTCTGCACCGGGCAGGAGGCAGTGGTGTGCCGGAGCCAGCTTGGGCCAGCTTGACAGAGCTGGTGGCTAAATTTTCAGGAATTCTTTGAGCTGATTTTAAATATACCATTACCAAAACTTATATAAACTTGCAATTCAGTAGTTTCTGTTAAAAAGAAAGTTAATAAATACTCAAAACTCATCCTTTCCTAATTATTTTGCTGCATTTATTAGTGTCTGTTCTGGAGGCTGTTTGCATCTGCCGTATCTGTGTGGAGGCGATATGATAAAATGAAGGCTCCCATGCATCTCTTTCCAGCTCTGTGTTCAGTGACGTCATTTTGGTAGCTTGAAGCTGGCCGTGCTGGGAGCATTTACACCACAGAAATTGGCAAATGCTACAATTTTTATTCCCCTCAGAGGGCCAGTTGTTAAGCATTTCCCAGCTCACAAATGTGGCAGGAGCAACTCAAGATGGTGCAGCCTTGGAGGCAGGATGTCAGCTGGACCAGGACCTGTGCCAGAGAAAGTTGGAAGGAGCAGGGCAGTTTGTGTCCCCTAGAATGGCAAAGCCAAGGGTGGCACATGCAGGGGACAGGTGGTGGCTGTCTCTGCCCACACCTCTTTCTACACGTCCTCAGCTCTCTGGTGCTGGCCCAAAGCACCAGCATCGGTGCATCTTCCAAGATCAAGCTGGAGCTCTCTCCCCGGATTCCGTGATAACTGAGGGTTTCGCCCAGTTGCTCCAGGTGTTCCTTGGACCTTCCTGCTTGGCACACTGCCACTGCTCCCTCTCCCACTGCCCTATGTGCCTCTCAGAAGCATTTGCCCTGAGTGTTCATAACATGGAGCTGCTCTTTGTCCATAGTCAACAGCAATGAGTCACCACTTCCTGGGAGTGAAGAGTTCACTAGATACACAACTGGAATCCCAGGACTTTGTGGTCTGGTTCTTAAACAGCCTAGGGTGGGGAGCACTGACCAGGCTGAAAAGATGCCGAGTGTGGGGTGCCCCCTTGGACTACCAGGTCCCTGAGCTGCGCCAGACCCGGCCTAAACTTGGGCAGCAGCATCTCTGAGGGAGAAACCAGGCAGAGGGTTCCAATGACTTACGGGTCCACCAGGGCAAGCCTGGGGACCCTGGTTTGTTGGCAGGAGGCAGGGGTAGAGCCTGAGCCAAAGGCAAGAAGAGTGGGGCCAAATGGGGCTGGGACATAAAGTCAGCAGCCACCAGCACCGTTGCGAGCCAAAAACCAGTCTTTAAGGCTCGCACTAGGGGAGCAGTGTGGTTAGAGGGCCCCAGGGCCTGGGGAGGGACTAATGGCCTGGCATCAAGATCCCAGCTGGGGTCTGCATTGGAATCCCTGCCCATCTGGGGCTGTGTGGCAGCCCAGCGCGGGAGCCCAGGAGGAGGGCCAGTTTCTGTGTACAGAGCACCTTAGACAAGGCCCGAGTGGCCCCAGCAGAGTCAGGCAGAGGATAGGGGAGTGTTGGGTTTGGGCAGACAGTGGGGCGCGGGCCCTGGGTAGGGAGTCAGCGCCATCAGGAGACCCCCCAGCAGTGGCCAGGACTCCACAAGGGCGTGGCATGGTGGTCAGGTGGAAAAACACAACAACTAGG